GGGGCAAAGAAACATTTTAGCATATGATAGTAAAAGAAATAATGAAGGACATACTTCAATAAGAAAGTAAAGAAATCAGAAGGAAAATATGGTACACAAGAAATAACTATGAGCACAGAAATAGCCAAAATATGTTGGTAAACTAACGATCAAATGAGTAAACTATTTTTAAAAGATGAACTGAAACTCAAGATAACAACATAGGGAATCATGTTTAATTATAAGGAGCAAAGAAATACTGAGTAGTTTGAGATGATTAGAAAAATTGATAGTTTATTTCAAAAATCTAAAAGTAATCATACAGGCAGTCCTCATATTGGATTCGATGTTCGTCGTTCTGTTATGTCGCCATCTCCCATCTATCTATATAATAGAGGAATACACAAATTAGCCTAGGATGCTGTAACATCACAACCAAACAGCAGGGGCCTGAGGCTGCATGGGGTGAGGGACTTCAGGCCACGCCCCCTGCCCCATGGGTCTTGATGGCTACCTCAGCCATGTACCCTGCCCTGGAGGTGGGTCCCCTGTCCCTGTGCTGGGCTGAGAGACAACCTGCCATGGCCCTCATCTTAGCGCTGGGGTAGGATCTCAAACTTTGCTCCCTGCCTGGTGCGGCTTGTTGGGGGACCTGAGACTGTGCTCCCTGGCCCGGTGTTGGGCTGGGAACCTTAGGCTGCGCGCCCAACCCTCCTGCCCCTTGCCCAGAGGGACTTGAGAGGGGTGGGGGTGGCCAGGTCTGGGTCTCCTGGGTTTTCGAAGTGTGTGTGGGCGGTGGGCGGGGACCTGACTCTAGGTCCTATAGCACTTCCCAGACTCTGATAGGGAGATTTTCATATACATTTTACTAGTTTTATTTTATCTCTGATACTTATATTACAGAGAAAGGGCAAATAGCAATATTAAAAATTTCCTTTCCTTTTTAATGTGCACAAATTTCATGCACTGGGCCACTAATTTATTAAAAGAAAAAGTTCCATTAAAATATTTTATTGACTTTTTACAGAAAGGGAGAGGGATAGAGAGTTAGAAACATTGATGAGAGAGAAACATCAATTAGCCGCCTCCTGCACACCCCCGACTGGGGATGTGCCTTTAACCAAAGTACATGCTCTTGACCGGAATCAAACCCGGTACCCCTCAGTCTACCGGCCAATTCTCTATCTACCGAGCCAAACCGGTTTCAGCAAAAGTTTCATTATTTTGACATAGGTACATATGTGCTTTATGTTTTTCATTAATTACTACAAGTAAAGATTAGGAATTATCTTTCTTTTAAATTTTATTTTATTGTTTCGCTTCATTTTTGCTCCATGTGAGTGACGTAGGTGCTATGGAGGTGCGGTCAGACTTTAAACAGTGAAAATCGCATTATGTTGCACCGTAGGAATGGATCTTCAACGTAACCCGAGGACCTACTGTAAAAAACTAGAAACAATGTATAGCTTTCAAATTATTAGAGGGGAAAAATGGTTATAGAAATTTTATTAAAGAAATATGGGAGATGAGAAAACTTGGCAAACAGCCTCATGAGTATATAAAAAGTTGATTTATGCACCGAAACCGGTTTGGCTCAGTGGTAGAGTGTTAGTCTGCGGACTGAGGGGTCCCAGGTTCGATTCCAGTCAAGGGCATGTACATTGGTTGCGGGCACATCCCCAGTAGGGGATGTGCAAGAGACAGCTGGTTGATGTTTCTCTCTCATTGACGTTTCTAGCTCTCTCTCTCCCTTCCTCCTCTCTGTAAAATATCAATGAAATATACTAAAAAAAAAAAAAAAAAAAAGTTGATTTATGACAAATTTGCCATGGGAAAATTGTGGGGGAAGAATTTAATAAATGGCTTAGTATGATCTGTGTCCATAAGGTAAGAAGTAGGCCCTACTTCATGCTATACACAAAAGTAAATTTAATTTGTAATAAAACCTAAAGGTGAAACAAACTTTTAGAATTAAATATAAGATAATCTTTACAACATTTGGAACGGAAAAGAATTTCTTGAAGTACAAAAAGCATAAATTATAAAGAAAAACATTGAAAAAGTTGGCTACATTTATATTTTAAAACTGATTAATAAAGACTATAAACAAAGAGGAAAAACACACAAGATAGCCTTGGAGAAACTATCAGGTTTTAAAAAATATATATATTTTATTGATTTTTCACAGAGAGGAAGAGAGAGGGATAGAGTCAGAAACATCGATAGAGAGAATCAAGAGAGAGAATCATCGATCAGATGCCTCCTGCACACCTCCTACTGGGGATGTGCCTGCAACAAGGCACATGCCTTTGACTGGAATCGAACCCGGGACCTTTCAGTCTGCAGGCTGATGCTCTTTCCTCTGAGCCAAACCGGTTTCGGCAGATATCAGTTTTTATCTGATATCATTTGCCTTCAGCCTGAAGAATTTCATTTAGCATTTCTTATAGTGCAAATCTGTTGGTGACAAATTCTCTTAGTTTTCTTCTATCTGAAATGTTTTTGTCTTTATTCTGAAGGACATTTTTGCTGGATACAGATACTGTGCTGACAGCTTTCTTTTTCAGCATTTTAAAGACAATACTTTTGAAAAAAATTTTAAATTATTGTTTGCTTTATCAAAGCCTCAAGCCTCCAAGAAATTGCTGCTTAAATCAAGTTTTCTTCTAATCACAAAGATATTTGTCTTCTCAGAATTTATATTATATTCATATTTTCTTTCATAATGATTCCAACTTATTTTTCCCAAAGTTAACTCTTCAGCATTATTTTCTTTAATTTATTAAAAATATGTAGTTTAAATTGATTTTTTAGAGAGAGACGAAGGGAGAGGGAGAGAGGCATATCTGTTGGCTAACTCTTGAATGCACCACAACATGGGATCTAGCCTGCAGCCTGGGCATGTGCCCTGACCGGAAATTGAACTGGTAATCTGTCAGTGAGTGCACAGGATGACACCCAACTGAGCCACCCGGTCAGGACTTCAGCATCATTTAAAAAAATATATTTTTATTGATTTCAGAAAGGGAGAGGGAGGAGAGATAGGAACATCAATGATGAGAGAATCATTGATCAGCTGCTGTTTGCATGCCCCACACTGGGGATGAAGTCTGCAACCTGGGCACGTGCTCTGACTGGGAATTGAACCGTGACCTACTGGTTCATAGGTGGACACTCACCACTGAACCACGATGCTGGGTTTCAGCATCATTTTCTACATCACCATTTATCTTTGAAAGATGAAACTTCTGTGTGGGATGTGTTTTTGGAAATGAGTAACGGGATTGGATTAGCCAGATCAATCTGTCAAGCAGTGAGGTAACATTGTCCAGTCCTGAATACATTTTGAGTCAAATTACATTTTGTGAACATTTTGCCAATACCACGAAGCTTAGCCACTGTGTATATTGTAGTGGGCAAAGTTGCATGTACATTTTTTTTGTGCTATGCAGAAACATTTAAAAATATATTTTTATTGATTTTTAGAGAGGAGCCAAACCAGCTGATGCTCTATCCATTGGGCCAGAAACATTTTTAATATTTATTCACATATTTTTAAATTGGAAAATACTTATTTTCAATATTTTGTACGTAGTATATACAATTTAACATTCTTTCCCTTAAAATAAGGATTACTTTTTGTTGAGATGAAAAAACTGATATAGACACCAGTTGTCAGCATTAAAAAAATTGGTTAACCTAAAATTTTGACCTTTTGGCTGTTGCTAAATCAACTTGCTGTGATTATTGTTTCTCAACTTTCACAAACAATTTAAATTTGAATGAGGATATTTGGCAGTTGCACAGTATTTTATTTTAAAAAGACTTTCACATCCATTATACCATTTAATCTGTCCAATAACTATGGGTAATATGGCAGGTTTTATTACCATTTTACAGATGAAGAACCTGAGGCTTAGGGAGATGAAAAGATTGGTCCTAGAATGAATATGTGGTAGAACTGAATCTTTTATTTAGTTTTAACTTCGAGTCCAGGCTCAGATTGTCCACTCTAGATGATTCTTTAAATATATTCTTATTAATATGCACGATGCCCCTTCCCAACCTCTTCTCTTTCTACTGGCTTTGGTTTCCCAACAAAGGGGCTTCCTAACGAGTGTTTCCCCTTTCTGTGTGGTTGTGAGGGAACACATGTGGGCTCCTCCAGTCTCCAATCTTGTATTTTCCTTTTTCTGTGGCTCTTCCAGCCTCGCCAGCTACGGAAATCTCCTTTCTGAGCCCCAACTTCGGGAGTCTTCCCACAGCCCCCTGGCAGTGGGACCTCCCATCCTAATCATGAGCAGGAGAGCCCATCAGGGAGGGGTGGCAGAGGGCAGGAGCATAGCACGCCGGGAAGCCATGCTGAGGGTTACTTCTGCATTTCCTTCCTTGCGGTCCTCGGATCATCCTGGTCGCCCTCCGGCCCGGTTCTCTCCAGCCCGCCCCGGATCCGCCTCCCCCTCTTCCTCCCGGAGGCTGAGACGGAGCGTGGGACGCACCTGTCAGGTCACCCGGCGGAGGCGCCGGGGGCTGCTCGCGGAGCAGGATTTACAGGCCCGGGGAACGCCGATGGGAGATCCTAATGGTCGGGGACTCCGGCACTTTAAGAGGCTTTTCTCTGGGAAATACCCGTCCCCTCCGTGCGCCTTATGAATGGAAATACTCCTCCCCCGGTCGAGCCCATTTTCCCATTTCACCAGGAGCCGCAGCTCGCACTCTGCTTTCGGTCTCCCCGCCCACAGCAACGCGGGCAGCTCCAGGAGGGGACGGACAGGAAGCCTTTGGCCGCCTATTAAATCCCACCCATTTCTCCGGGGGCGATTTCCTAACCTTCCGGGACCGAATTCTGCAATTTGATGTGCGTTTTGTCCGAATGGTAGCGACACGGGCCTAAGGGAGGGGGAAAGCGAGGGGGTGGGGGGTGGGGGGTATGCGTTCTTTTCCTCGCAACATCGCTGGCGGAGCGAGGGAGCTCACACGACACAGATTTTTGGGCAAAGCCTTTCCATCTGGACAGCACCATGTCCACCAAAGCGGAGCAGTGTAAGTAGCAGCCGGCCCGGCGTTCTGGCCCGGCCTCCAGCTGGGAACTATTGCAGTGGCGGCGTTTGCGGCTGCCGGGAGACCTTGGCATCGTGTGGTGCGGGGGTGGGGGCTGAGGTTGGGGCGGGTGCGGGGTGGGGGCTGGAAGCGGTGGTGGGGGAGGGTGGAAGTTAACGGCAACGCGGCGCTGTCCCCGGTGCTGAAACATAATGGGGCTTGTGGAGGGGTTTTCACAAGACTGAAAAGACCCTGCGAAATGAAATTAAAATGGGGTCATTCTCGCGAAAAAAAAAAAAAGAGGAGGTCTCATATCTTTCAGATAAACATTTCGGTGTCTCTTGTTGGAGTGGGGGAAGGGGGCAGCGGCACATCAGGGGCGGGGAACTGTCAGTGCAACCAAAGCCGGCCTAGCCTTCTGAGCATGCCCAGTTCTCGGCGCTGGAGCCATAGGGGAGTTTGTCTGCAGTTTCCACTTGGGGTTGGAGAGGCTAGAAGGGACGAAAAAGGGGAGGGGGCTGGGGAGAGCCAGGAGCCTGGCAGGATCCAGAGGATAATCAGCTCAGGAAAACCAACATATGCTAGAACTAAGCACAGTTATGGGTTAAAGCCGGAGTAGGTGTTTGCAAGAAAGTGAAAGGGTCCCTGGGGAAATGATCTAACCCTTTGTAGGGCAGCTCACACAAACTATAACAAATAACAGGAGGATTTTAGTTGTTCCAATAATGACTGATGGTGTGTTTGATTGGAAACAACCTGCTAACTCCTTGTGGAAAGAGGAAGTTTCTATTATAATATGCTCCCTGTAGTCTTTTATTGCAGTGTGCTTTAGTAGGCCTTCAGTATGCAGTTAGTAGGTTGATTAATGCAAAACCTTTTCCTGAGTGCACTTGAGGGATTCAGGTACTTAAACTTCTGACTTTTTTTTTTTAAATTAAGAAATGCGTTTGAATAAAAAAATATATATCTAACCTTATTCATCTAGTTCATCTACTTCTTTCAAAGTAGTACAGTTATGTTGATAATGTTGTCACTACTTTAAAGTCTTTGTAATTCTTCTTTGGAATGACTATTAAAGCCATTCTGGGAGAATTTGTGTTTACCCAAAGCAGTAGTCTCATTATTTGGGGGCGGTATCATGTATGTGATAAAATGCAATTTGTCACTTATTCACTATCTAGATTAAGTGAACTGAAAATCATGAAATTTCAAGATTGATGGTTCAGTAGAAATTGACAATTCACCCTTACCATCTAGTATTTATACCTTTTTGCAATGTTTATTTCCTTATCTGTAAACCCGTGGTAACAATGCTGATGGGGTTTTTGTGATTATAAATGAGAGAATACATATACATGAAAGGTTGAGTAGTGAGCCTAGCATATAGCAAGTACTCAATAAATGATGGTTATATTACTGACAGTTATTTCCCACTTAATAGTCCATCTCTTCTCAATAGGAAGTTCTTTTTAATTTTTATTTTTTGCTTGTCTCTAGAAGTTAATTCTAAACCTCAAAAATACAATTTGCTTCTATGGAGGCTTTCAAAAAAAATTGCATGCATAATGTTTTGAGTAATGACAACATACTTGGAATCAATGTGGATCTTCCCACTTGAGGCTATCACACTCTTGAAGGTTTTATTCCAGTGCAGTTGTTAAAAGAAACCCACCACTTGGCATTTGGTTTTATAGTTACATATTACATAAGTAATTTCAGGTCAAAGCCAGTGAGTATTACTTTCCTCTTCCTGTGTTTTCTTTTCCTTGTTATATTTTGAGATGCACTGGATGCTTTTTCTTATCTTTTTCCTGGACAGTTAATACCAAGATAAATAAAACCAAATGTGGATCCAGTTATGTAGTACCAGTAGTGTATAGTTAAGTAGCTATTTTAGAATTGTTTGTAAAACAGGTTTGTTTATTTTTTAATCTGTAGATGATGGAAAGGACCCATGTGGATCTGAGTTTTGCATGGCCCTTTTGATTAACTGTGAGACACTGGGCAATTAATTTAATAGGTTTGTGCCTCTTTCAGAGTTTTCATCTACGATGTGAGAAATAATAGCAGCATCTACTTTCGTTTAAACCTAAGGGTTTGGAGGGCAAATGAGGTAAATGACAGTAGGCTGTAAAAAGGATAAGGGATGCTTTGGGTGTTTTTAAGTATCTTTATTTAGAGTGAGGGTAGAGAACAATTTCTTTTTCTTTTACATGCATGAACATGAGTGGGTTGACACTCTAGTGCACATTATAAACTTGAAAATAGAGCAGACACATAAAAGACTGCATAGCTGATGTTCATGAAGGGTGAACACTTTGTAATAAAGAAAAGTTGCAGGTCCATGGTATTTTAGTCTTGGACTCGGTAGGAGTATGATTAAGGGGAAAGAGAAAGAGAAGGAAATGCCATGAGACTTTTCCTTTCTACTGGATGTGAAGACCGCTATTGGATTTTTCTCTTCTACTGGATGGGAGAGAATGAGAGAATTCATTTCTCCTCTGCATTCAGGAGGTGTATAGTGCCACTTGCCTAAGTACCAGAAGGGGAGAATTAGATTTAATATAATGTCAAATATTATTTTTGTTCCTCTTCTTCTTGAGGCCTCTTGATTTAGGTAAAAGTCTCACTGGTACAGGAAGTAGACATAGTTTGGTTGAACCAGCAAGAGGAAGTAATTGCCTTTCAACCCAAATTACGTGATTTACCTTGAAATGTAATGTATCGTGGATATGTGAAAAAGATTTTGTTTTTATGTAGTGGTATTTCCTTTTATGAAATAAGTGAAGTAGTAATAATGATGAAAGAGAGGCTAATCTTAGCAAATGTATAGTTTGGAGCCTGTTTTTATGCATATGATCTGTGTCCAATGCTATATGTAGAACCATCGTAACAGAAGGTGAAAGCTTCCTAGCAATTTCTCAGGCAATTGCGCAAGCGTTAATTTTTTTCCCCTCCGAGTGCTTCTTTTTCTAACAAAATTCACTGTAGTGAAAATGTTTGTGTAGCTGATATAGAATCTGGAATGATAAAAATAAGAACTTATAGTTCTTTTATTTGGAATTCTAAAGAGGAGCCCAAGTCTCCTGCACCCCCAGCTTTTTCCATCTTCTAAGAGTTAAAATTGACCAATCTGGAGTACTTTGGATGTATGCTTCCAAAAGCAGCTTGCTTTTGACAGCAGCAGAATTAAGAGCTGGGGTTCCAGAATCAGTCTGCTGCCTGGGTGTGAATCCTGGCTCTGCTTCTTACTATTTGTGTGACCTTGAACAAGTTAAGTCAACCTCTGCAAGCCTCGAATGCATTAATATATGAAATGGGGATAGTCATTATTGTTGTGAAGTTTAAATGAGAGGAACTAAGAAAAGTGCTTAGCACAGAATCCTGGCACATAATAAGGAGTTATAAATGTTAGCTATTATCATTATCATTATCATCATCATTAAGTATCAAATCTTGTGCTTGCTGCTATATTATAAATTTGGAGCTAACGCCCCAGAAAAATATTATTTAAATGGGACATAGACTATTGAACTTTTTTAAAAAAATTTAAATTTCTCTTTTCCTTGTCTCCAGGTCTCCTCTATAGCAATTAGCCTAACCCATTTTTGGTGGGAGGCTTGACTTGGTCTATTTTATTTTATTTATTTACTTTTAAAATATATTTTATTGATTTTTCAGAGAGGAAGGGAGAGGGATAGAGAGCCAGAAACATAGGATGAGAGAGAAACATTGATCAGGTACCTCCTACACCCCCACCCACTGGGGATGTGCCTGCAACCAAGGCACATGCCCTTGACCGGAATCAAACCTGGGACCCTTCAGGCCACAGGCCAACACTCTATCAACTGAGCCAAACTGGTCAGGGCAGACTTGGTCTATTGTAAACAAAACATTTCTAAGGCATGAACTGTCTATTCATCACCTTTTGCATTATGATAACAGTGTAGCAGCTGGTAAACATAAATCAGTTATATAAATATCCATCAAAATGTTTGTCAAGTTTGGATATTAAACTACCGATAATTTGAGCATAAACTCAGAATAGCCAATGATAGAAATGTAAATGTATGCTATTTTTAATGTATTTATCCTACTCAACATACTTCTCTCAGTAACTAAATATCTTTTAAATTACATCAAAACCAAACATTTTAAAGAGTACAGCTAATTAGCAATATGATTTGAAGTTGAACTTGGCCTCTCCTATACATGTTTAGGGACTGTGCTTGGGGAAATCAATCAAAATATTTTTAAAAATTTTATGTACATTATATGGTAGTATTACTAAAATAGAAAAGTACTTCTCCTTTGAATAGCACTGTAGCCTGTACTTGTTTAAAAATCTTTGCACAATGTTGCTAAATTCTTATAGATGAAACTCTGGTTTTATTACTATTTTATTAAAAAATTAGAGTATGTGTTATTAACCATGTTTGTGCTAGCAAAAAGAGTGCATGAGTTTTACTCTTGTCTTACATGATTTCTTTGCATCATTTGACACTACTTTTTACATTCCTTATTTAAACTCTCTTTTCTTTCTCTTTTGACTGTTCCTAGTGAGATTTTTTTTTTTTTAGTGCTACTTTCTTCTTGCACTTTATAAAAAGGATCTTGTCATTAATCCTTTCTCACTCTCTTTTTAAAACCCCACAGACTTTTGCTCTTGTTCACTCTCTTAACAGTTATCATCTCTTTGTGGATGACATCTAAATACAATTTTCTAGTCTAAACATGCCTTTTGAACTATAAGCCTCTATATCGAGGCATCTATAGACATCCCAAACCCAAACTCATAGTCTTCTGTTCCAAATTTTTATTTATTTTTATATATTACTCATTTCAATGAGTGGCACTACTACCTACCCATTAATCCTAGTCAGTTTGGGCATCTTCTTAAACTTCTATTCTCTGTTATGAGTATTCAGCAAATCACCAACCCCTGTTGATTCTAGCACATCCAACCAAATTGTTGCCTTAACTCCTTGATCAACTTACATTGG